CCCCAAAACCCCAAAACCCCGAGGTGATTGATTTATTAATCTGTTTTACTTTTTTTAAATTTTAAAATAAATATATGAAATAAATGCTTTGAAATGAATCAACTTGTAAAAAAGCATATTGAGTTGGGAGACAGTGTTAGCGATTAAAAGTGCACTGCAAAATTCTTTTAAATCTCATTTTTTTATAAATAATCTATTTTTTTAGCAAATATTTATTTTATCCATCGCCTTCTCACTTAAGAAAATATCAAATTATTTGATTTCACCAGCTTTATCAAAATCATTAAGGTCAATTTCTGAGTTCGAGTCATCATCAAACTTAAACTATATTTTTAATTCGATAATTTCTTCTTATTTTAAAATGGGATAATTTCTCGGCCTCCTTGTTGGAATCAAAAGTTTAGAATCTTAAGTCTGCCTTTATCTACGAAAATCATTTTTGCCACTATTTTTTATTCCTCTTTCGACAATTGTGAAGGAATCATTTGTTTTTAAAAATTTTGCGTTTGCTATTTATTGAGTCATACCTAACATAGTATTTTTGATTGTGTACTCTAAAACTCCAAAAATATTTGGGCTTTTTCTTTAAAAATCAAGTTTTATCTTATCACTTAATTAAATTCCATTAATTTTAGTACTCTCATTGATCTTTTATTTATTAGGTTCATCAGTATTCACAGATTTCTTCCGATTATTGATTTAGTAAATGAGTTTGTTATTAAAGATGCTATTTTGATGAATAAATTACACTAGTTGATGATCTTCAATTTTTTCCGATATTTTAGAGTTTATAACCTTTTTGCTTTTCAATCCTACAAACCATTCATGCTGAAATGCTTCCTATAATGATAATCTCTCCTCAACTCATGGATTTAGTAGGCCGTACATAAAATCTTATAGTTAAGGAGTAAATAATCTAATTTAATTATCAAGAATATGCTAAATGTTGCAAATAGCATTCACTTAGATTATTTCTCTAGAATTTATACCTTAAAACAAATTCTTGCCTCTAAGCATTTTAAAGAGCACACATCCAATACTGAATAAATCATTTTTCAAATTATGGTAATTATCTCTAAGAATCTCTGGGG